TCAGTAGCTGCTGCGCCATGCCACATTCCCAACAGCAGAATTTTAAGTGTTCCAGTTTCTCTACCTCCACATCCTTGCCAGGACTGTTATTTTGTTTGTTTGTTTTTGTTAGTAGCCATCCTGATAAGTGTGTAGTCTCCTCTACTGAGGCTTTGATTCACATTTTAGTCCTCATCTTTGCTGACTTGTTAGGTAATGTGTACAGCTGATCAGTGTCCTCCTCCTTTTACTCTACCCGTCTGGTTTTCTTGTGAACCTGACCCTTTTTGTCATGCCCCAGGCCTCTCAATTTTGATCTGCCCCAGAATCTGCTCTTTGCACTTCTCACTCCCTTAGCCATGCCAGCCACTCTCATGGCCAAAAATACTATCACTGTCTGAGTTGCTTTCAACAAAACTGAACTGTGCTTCGCTCAGACCTGTTCCTCCTGCAGTCTTCCTTTCGTTAGTTAGTGATGCAGCTCTGTGGTGTTTCATTATCTCAGGCCAAACATCTTGACACCCCCCTTTCTTTCTCACTCTTCCTAGGGCTGTACCTTCAGTACAGAGTCAGATTAGGGTCCCTTCTCACTGCTTCATCTTCATTCTGGTCTATATCTTGGTCATCTCACATCTGTTCCCTGCAAAGGCTCCCAGTTGGTCTCCTTGATCCTGCAGCAGCCAGAGTTGGCCTTTTGATGGTTAACAGGTGATTTCACTCAGGTCAATACAGTCTCGCAGTGGTCCCAGCCCCTTTGGGATCTGGCCCCATTCTTCTACCATGCCCTCTTTGCCCTCCTTGCCCTCCTCTTTCCCTGTCCCCCATCCTTCCTGGGCTCAGCCTGGAATTTCCCTTCTCCCAGATACCCATGTGGCTTTTTCTCCTTGTCTGTTCCTAACACCTGACATGCATTTTCTTCTCTCTTCTCCTCTCCCTCCCTTCTCACCTCTCCTCTTCCTCCATTCTCTCCTCTCCTCTTCCTCCATTCTCTCCTCTCCTCTTCCTCCATTCTCTCCTCTCCTCTTCCTCCCTTCTCTCCTCTCCTCTTCCTCCATTCTCTCCTCCTCCTCTCTTCCTCCCCTCTCCTCCTCTCCTCTCCTTTCCTCTCCTCCTCTCCTCTTTTCCTCTGCTCTTCTTTCCCTCTTTTCCTCCTCTCCTCTTTTCCTCTCTTCCCCTCTTCTTTCCCTCCTCCCCTCCCCTACTCTCCTCTCCTACTCTCTTCCCTTCCTCTCCTCTCCTCTTCTTCCCTCCCCATTCTCCCCTCCCTTTTTCCTCTCCTCTCCCTTCTCCTCCCCTCCTCCTTCCCTCTCTCTCTCCCTCCCTCCTTTCCTTCCTTCTACAGATTTTATTTATTTGCGAGAGAACACAAGCAGGGGGAGCGATGGAGGGAGAGGGAGCCTCCTTCCTGCCCAAAGTTGCCAGGGACCTGCCAAAGACAGACACTTAACCCAGGTGCCCCGTGACATGCATTTTTACCCTTCCTAAAGCAGCAGCCTTCTCCACACCACCACCCCTCCAATATTGTTCATTTTGTTTAGCCTGCATGTATGTCTCTATAGTTGTTTCTGCCTCATGATATTTAGTTATTTGTTCATGGTCCTTTTTGTGTTTTGTTCATGACTGTGACTCAGTCATCTGCCAAGAGAGTGGTATGAATTCTGTGTTCAATAAATGTTTGAGAAATAAATGAATGATTGAGTTCTTATTCATACGTACTTACTATGCACTTGCTTTTCTGTAGAATTCTAAGAGTTCCGAGTTTGGGTTTGTGTGTGGGTTTTAAGTACTGCAGGATTAATTAATTATTGATTAAAGATCTAAATGATGTAAATACTAGAAAAAATACAGGAGACCATTAGTGTAACCTTGGTATGGATGAGGCCTTCTTAACATGAACTGTAAACCTAGAAGTCGCGAAGGAAGTGATGAACAGATTTAATTGTTCAGGTTTGCTTTCTGAAAGCTGATACTGTCAGATGGGCAACATAATAGAGCACCGTGACTGTTTCTTAGTTCTGTAGATTTTCCACAACCGCTTCAGCTAATAGGATGCAGTTGGCCAGAGTTTTGTTCTGTACCCTGTTTTAGAAAAGGGTGAAGTCTTCTCAGAGGCTTTTGGAACAACGAAATGTCTTCACTGCATGTGGCTGGTACATGCAGGCTGCATCAGATGCTTCTGAACCCTCTCCGTGTCCCAACCCTTGGCGTTCACAGCACTGCCTTCTCCAGGTTCCACTTTTATTGGTCTTGCCACCGGGATTTTCTTGCTTAGTCTGGGCTATGGTTTCCTTCCAAAGTTTTCTGTTCTTGAACTTGATTTTGGAGATTTCTTACATTCTCATCCTTCATCTGAGTATGGCTCTAAAATGTGTGCTTCTAGCTCTGATCCCTCTTAATCGTCACAGTTTATACATTTGGATGACTCCCCGGCATCTCTGACTTCTCATTTTCAAGGCTTGTATTCATCTCCTTTCCACCGGCCATCCCACTGCTGATACATTTCTGTCTCTGTTGAAGGCACCCAAACCATTTTTGCCTTCTTTCACAGCAACTCCTCTGATTCACGGCTTTATTCTCTAGGGTTCAGATAACAGAGGCCAGGGTGCTGAATTTAAAGATTGCAGTTACTGGGGCGGATTGGAGGAGCAGCAGCTGCTGGCACCCTCTGGGCCATCAGGAGCTGGAAATCCTAGCTGTTGACTTCTGTCACGCACTTTAGCCACCTTACTCCTAGGAGCAAAGGATTATCTCAACTTTTCTCTTACCTGATTGCCTCGATCCCAGGACCTCTGGGATTCATGACCTGAGCCGAAGACTTAACCAACTGAGCCACCCAGGCGCCCCTGGACTCTTAATTTTCTAAGCATGATTTCCTTTAGTTCTTTGAACATGTTTTTCATAGCTGCTTTGAAGTCTTGTGCGCGTCTGGCATTTGGGCCCTCTCAGGGACAATTTCTGTTGCCTGCTTTCTCTTCCTGTGTTTGGATCTTCCCTGTTTATTTGCACGCCTCTTAATTTTTTGTTGTAAACTGCACATTTAAGATCTTTTATAGCATTTCTGAATGCTGAGTGCCCCCTGGCCATTTCCCTGGCTTGTTGTGTTGCTTGCTTGTCTTTTTAGTAACTTGGCTGGCATTTTATACCACCCCCCCCCCCCAGTGTGCATCCTTTGATGTTGCTCCTCAGTGAGCACTGCCTTGGGAACACTGAGAGTTTCCTTGAAGGGCCCTCTTTAGGGGATGGCAGCCAGTTTTAGTAGCACTCTTGAACCATCTCTTTCTCTGATCTTGTTAATCTGCTAAATCTGTCTCTGTTGGTTCACACCCAGCAATTATTCTCCACTGATAGCTAGCTGATTGCGTTATTGTGTTAAACAGAGCCCTGGGCCATAAATTGCCCCACTGTGTGATTCAGTTAAATGGCCTTTGTAGGGGTTATTTGAGGCCAATCTTCAAGAGGCCCTGACTCTGGAAGGGCTCTTCTTCAGTTCTCTGCTCCCTGATTCTGTTAAACTTCTGTTTGGTCTACTCTTCCTTGTTGCTATCCTGGAACTACCAGCCTCATCTTCATTGCTCATCACCGAAGTCTCCATTGTTTTCTGTAGTGCCATGAAGCTTGAGCTTCCCTGTTCTCTGTTCTAACTGAAGTCAGTCCACTTAGGGATTGCTGAGGGGCTCTCTGTGCTTATAGCCTGCTTCGGCCTGTGTAGAACCTATGTGCTGTTGTTCCAAAGCCAGGGGCACGGACAGCAGCTTGTCTTTTCTGTGAGTGGGGGCCTGGCCTGCGCTGTTGCCTCTGGTCTTCTCTGTGCGGAGCTTCTCTCTCTCTGCAGTTAGTCCCTGCCTCAGCTTCTCCTAACCTAACAGGTGTCTGGTGTTATTCTTGGCCTGCTGTGCCTGTAGCAGAGAGCTTCCTCATGTTCCCTCACATTTTTTGGCCACATGTGAATCTAATAGAACTTCTCCACTATGGAGTTGGGGGTAGGAGATGAGAATACTAGAAATCATAACCCTGGATTTGGAGCTGGATGGAATAATTAGTAGATTTTTTTCCTTTCTTTCCTTTTTTAAAATGATAGTATGTACCTACCACACAGAGGCTGTTTCCTCTGCCTGGAGTGCTCCGTTTTCCCCAGAAAGGCACATGGCCCACTCTCCCTCTTTTTGGAAGTCTCTGCTCAGATAGCCCTGGCTGGAGAGACTCCTATGGACCACCCTTGTACTACTAGCCTCTCTGGCCTCGCCCATTCACTTTGTGTTTCCCTTTCTTGGGTTCACTTCTCCTCCGAGGATTTACCATCACTTGGTGTGCCTATATATGTACGTTTGTGCGTCTTCCTCTCCCAGTGAATGGTAGGCTCCCAGAGGGAAGGGACAGAGACTGTTGTTCACTGTTGTAGTTCCTGTACTTAGAACACATAGGAGATTGTCAGTAAATCTGATGAATGCAAAGTAGAAATGGTCAGAGTTTACTGCTTCTTGCTTCACAGTTTGGCAGGTTAAACTGAAAAATACCACTTTGGGAAGTGAATTCTATGTTTTTTTTGCCAACACCAGTTGCGTGTTGCCACCTAGAGCGAGAGCGTGGAGCCCGCTGGGAAAGAATGCAGTGATTATTGAGCAGGTGGCCGGGCCGTGAGGGAGGAGAATGGTGTGTCTGCAAAGCACTTGCCATCCCTGAGGGATGAACAGGAAATCAGTACATTTTTGGCCTTGATTCTAGACTTCTTGCTTGCTCTCTTCTCACCACTGGGAAGTTTGTGGACACTTGGGGTTAGGTTGGAAAAATCACCTGTTTACAGAATGATGTAGAAACTTCTCTGTGGTAATTTCCATTGATAATAGTTGTAAGAGACTCACCCAACCATATTGGGAGTGGACTGGACTTTGCTGGAGGCCAGTACCAGCTGTTGCTTGATTGGGGAAAAAAATCATTTGCCTATCTAAAATGAAGATTTTTTTTCTTTACAGTTATTTTAAAATGATTTTGAACTAATACCTTTTTTCCCCCCTTCCTTCTAGATTCTGGAAATCCGTTAATTCCACTTTTTTTGAGCACTTATGAATAACCACGTGTCTTCAAAACCATCTACCATGAAGCTAAAACAGACCATCAATCCTATTCTTTTGTATTTCATACATTTTCTGATGTCACTTTATACTGTTTTAACATACATCCCGTATTATTTTTTGTTTGAGACAAAACAAGAAAAAGCAAACAAAATTAAAGCAAAACCTGTAAATTCAAAACCCGAGTCTGCATACAGATCAATTAACAGTTTGGATGGTTTGGCTTCAGTATTATACCCTGGATGTGATACACTAGATAAAGTTTTTATGTATGCAAAAAACAAATTTAAGGACAAAAGACTCCTGGGAACACGTGAAATTTTAAATGAGGAAGATGAAGTACAACCAAATGGAAAAATTTTTAAAAAGGTAAGGTGATATTTCATTGCCTTTGTCTTTCTGAGTAAAAGGTTCTCTCAGAAGTGGTGGCAAGGGACAAGGACAGCTGCCGTCCCATGTGGCTGATGTGGCAGGAAAAGCAGTCTGCCAGGGTGGGCAGAGGACCGTGTTCTGATCCCCTGTACTCTCCCGCATGGATTTGTTCGGAATTTTCAGACTGGCCAGAATGCCCACTGAGCCTAAATGTCGACTACAGCTTGGAATAGACTGTCTTGAGCAGTTTTGGGTCTGAAACTTTATTCCCTGTTGGTTCCACAAGCACCTGTGTGTGCTTGAGATGGTTCTGGGTTTTTCTGGTTTTAATTTTTAAAAAAAGATTTTATTTATTCATTTGACAGAGATCACAAGAGACAGAGAGGCAGGCAGAAAGAGAGAGAGAGAGAGAGGAGGAAGCAGGCTCCCTGCTGAGCAGACAGCCTGATCTGGGGCTCGATCACTGGACCCTGGGATCATGAGCAGAGCCAAAGGTGGAGGCTAACCCACTGAGCCATCCAGGCGCCCTGTTTTTTTCTGGTTTTAATATAGGTTCCATTGGGTGCTTAATGTGTTGGTACTTCGGTAGTGGCAACTGCATGGTTTTTTAAGGATTTCTCTTCACCAGTATAGACAGTAGCACCTGCCGTTGTTGGTTTGAAACAGGGGATAAGACACCCTTAGAGGCAGTATAACATAGTGGTTAAGAACCTGAATTCCAGATCCAGACTATGGGTTTGGATCTCAGCTTTGCCACCTACTGGCTATGTGACTTTGAAAAAAGTTATTTATTTAACAAATTTGTGTCAGTTTCTTTATCTGTCATATGAAGATGATGATTAATGCTGATATTTATTAGCATTTCTTATGAGCCAGGCAGTTTTAAGTTCTTTATATGTACCAGTTTATTTAAGACTTAAAGTAGCCCTATGAGTTCGTGTTACTGTTGTTACTTTGCGGATGATGGCCACAGAGGCACCGACGTTCCAGCTAGAAGCAGTAAAGCCAGGACTAGAACTTAGGTTGTCTTGCTCCAGACTCCTTAGCAAATGCCAGCTCTCAGAGTTGTTGAGAGGATAAACTGAATGTATGTATACATAACACACACACAAACACAGACACGTGTGTGTAAACAGAACAGTTGTGGTATCTAGTGTAAATGCTCTAGTTTTATTATATTAGCATTATCTTGGGAATTGGGTGGTCAGAATTATATGAGTGACTTCAGAGACACATGGGGTAGTGCAGCACTGTGAAGGATAGTGAGTAGAGAAATGGCACGGAAATGCTTTTTTTTTTTTTTTTTTTTTTTTTTTAAAGATTTTTTATTTATTTGACAGAAATTACAAGTAGGCAGAGAGGCAGGCAGGCAGAGAGAGAGAGGGGGGGAAGCAAGCTTCCCGCCGAGCAGAGAGCCCGATGCGGGGCTCCATCCCAGGACCCCGGGATCATGACCTGAGCCGAAGGCAGAGGCTTTAACCCACTGAGCCACCCAGGCACCCGGAAATACTGTTTTTGAATATGGAGTCATGACTCTGAAGATAAAATTTTTTTAGAGGCAGTAAGATGATCAGTAATTATCTTTGCTTGATTGATAATTTGGTCAGATTATAGGTTTATTATGTGTATAGGTGAAGTTGTTTTTCTTTCCTTTTTTCCAACTATATCCTGACTCCAGCTGCCTTTTTTCTGTTAGTCATGAAGGAACGCTAAGGTATCAGAGGAAAGTTCAAATAATCATACCAGGAATGAAATACTTACAGTTTCTCCTGTGACTGCAGGGCCAGGGGGATGGTATTTAACAACTTGGTATTTAACGGTGGTATTTAATGGGCCAATAGGGCCCATTATTGTTAAATTGGCACTTACTCCTACAAATTCCAGTCTTTTTCTTTCAAACATGGAGATGGCAAGCAAGTTAATGCTAGTTAACGCCAGTAACTCCTAGAAATTTAAAGCATTCTTCTAGCTCCAGACAACAAAATCTGTAAGTGTCCATCCCCTTTAAATAAAATGATCTTGTATCTTGTTTTGCCTTAAATTGTGCTTGTTTATCTCGCTTTGCCTGTCACATTAACAGTGCCACTTTGCAGTCTCAAAAGTGGCTTGGAGAAATGGTATAGTCCCTTGACTATTTATTTATGTATTTATTTATTGGTCCCTTGATTTTTAAGGTATATTCTCTATTTCTTGTGCTGAGTTAGTTTTGCCTCACTTAAATGATTTTTTTTTTTCTTTTCTGTTAAGGTCTGGAGATTTAATAGCACATTTCTTGAAACTGAAGTTACGTAGTTAAGCATGTTTGTTTCCTTTTGTCTAACCTATAGATTATAAATTGTAAAACATTAAGTCATAATGGTGTCTGAGTTTTTTTCATACTGAGTTGCTACTTTTTAGGGTATACATTCTTGATTTTGTCTTTGAGAGATCTGGTAGTTAGAAAAGGTACCAAGAACACTACGCTTTTTGAGTTGCTGAAGTTTGCTACTTGTATGCCTCCTCTTTTAAAACATTCCTTTTTGTTTCTTGGTCTAATCCTAATTTGAATCAAAAGATTGGGTTCCCTTGTTTTTAATCTGGGCATATGTAACAGAAGTTCTCTGTTAGCAGGAAGTTTAATTTTTCTCCGTGTTACAGATATTTTATGGGACTGGCACTGTTTTTCAGTCCTCATTCAGCACTTAGAGCAACAAACTAAGCTTCCAAGTTTGTAAAAAGGAGATCAGTATGGTGATTAGGAAATTCCTTCTTAATTCAGTTTATCGGTGTAATTAGGACATAATAAAATCTAGAGCTTTCACAGTTGTTCCTTAAATGTGGCCAGATAACACAGTGTACACAAGGAGAGTATTTTTCCCTGTTGTGTGTTTGTGTATGTGGCCTTTTCTTTCCTGTCCTGCCCATGGTGGCTTTGTAGTCATCGTTTATTCAACATATTTGAACTCAAATAGGGAAGTTAGAAGCTGAAAAAAAAAAAACAAAAAACCTCTTTATAAAATCAGCAGCCTTTTTTGTCTACAGGATCTCATTCTCAGATCTTTCTACCATTAACATTTGCCTTCAAATTGGGATTTGTGCTTCTTCAGACTCTTTGGGGAAGTCTTTATATAACCTCTGATATAAAAAGTGTTATATTTTTCCTGTTTGAAATTAGGCTTATTGGGAAAGTAAAATTTTTTAGGTTTCTTGTATAGTAAATGAAGCAAATGTTTTCTGTTAGACTTACTCAAGAAGAGAGTGACTTGGGTTTTTCTTTGTGTTGCAACGGTGTCATGGTTTGCAAACTAAATGGTGGGTACTTCAGCTGGGTGTTATAAACAAGCTAGGCTTCCTCCCTTTTGGTTTCTTGTTTATACTCACTGTATTTCTGCAGAAGCAGCATCTACTTTGATAGGAGAGTAAAAAGGGAACATTTCACAACTGGCGCTTAGGTAGATAGTAAGAGTGGTATTGCCTAGGCTGATGTGGTTTCTGCTGAGTGCTTACCGACTGGCGTGCCAGCGTGTTTCCTATGAATGTATCGTCATTAATAGTTTACGTACTGGAAGATAAACTTAAATTGGAAAAGCCTACTAGTGGTATAGCAATATCTACAAGTTTCCTTTCTTACTGTTTTGTGGGCTGAGCTTAGGGATTAACCCCAGAAGGTATCTGATATGGTTGAATCAAAGATTCCCGGACATTTATTTTAATTAAATGAATGCTGAAGCTTTATTTTCATCTTATCTTCTAAGTCTGTTTTGAGCTCCCAAGGGAAGATAAGCAGAAGAAAAGACAGTGGTGATTCTGCTGTAAATATGCCCACCATAGTGTGGCTCTCACCTTCACTAAGATAGGTCTGTGGAGGGGGTGGGGCACAGAGAGTCAGGGAAGCAGAGGCTGCCATGTTCTTGAGGCTTGGCAAGCTTTTTCTTGTTTCCTTCGGCTTTATGAAAATACAGCAGAGCTTAGCACCTGGAATGTGTGTCAGCAGCTCATGATGCCAGCCTTCCCAGCTGCAAATGCATTGTACCAAGGTCCTTGGAAATAAAGAACAGTGAAGGATTGGTGTCCAGAGATCTTTAAAATACATGTAGCTGAAATAGAACAAGGTTGCAAAGAGTAAAAATAAGTTTACGGTGAAATGGAAAGGAGCACAAGGCTGGTTCTAACATATAGTAACTACCAGAAACACTTAAAATTCTTTTTCTTACATATTTTACACACATGACAGTGAAGAAAATAGTAGGGATTATATAATCACAGTGCTTAGAAAGAGAAGATTTCACTGTTGACATTCCTTGTAAGTTGATATAGAACGATAACAGAAGTACTCATTTCTGTTCAGTGCCTACTTTTGTGTTGGTTCTTGCTCCAGAGTCCTATTTTTTTAAAAATATAATTGCATGTGTGTATGATACTTACTTTCTGACTGGTTAGGACATTTACATTTTAATTTATATGAAAACCAGTGGTCAGTCTCTTGGCCAGGGCTCGTGTTTTTGTTATTATAGTACTGTCCTCAGCCAAAAGTTTGGTTCGTTTCCATACGTGTTCCTCTCCTAGTCAGCCTCTGTTAAAGGCCCTACCATGTACTAAATGTTTTTTTTTTTGTTTTGTTTTGTTTTGTTTTTTACCAGAAGTCGAGTTTTTTCCCCCTTAGAGCCCCCCCTTCCCTTTTTACCAGGTCTTCTACTTCCACTCTTGCCCCCACAATAATGCACTCACAAACAGCAGTTGAATGGGTCTTACGGGTGTTAATCAGGACACCTTCCTCACCTGCCCGGTAACATCTCTTCTCCTTTCTATGGAGCAGTCAGAGCGTTGTGGTTTAGTGCTTAGATACTGAAATGAGTCCGCCTTGATTCCTGTTCTAGTCCTGTCACTTAGGTGGTCAGTGACATTTTTGTTATCTTTGAGCAAGTTCTGCCGACTCTCTTGATGCCTCAGTATTCTCATTTGTCAAATAGGGATACTAAGAGTAACCCTGGCTTAGGAGTTTCTGTGAGAGTTGCTGCAATATGCTTACTAGCCCAGAGTGAACACTGGCAAAGTTTAGCAACCCTCCTCCTCATGATCACCACCAGCCATCCAGACTTGCTGAAGATTTTCACCCCTTGGTTCCCTCACAGTGACCTGTAATAATCTTCATTCACATAGAGAAAGGTTCCGTGAAGCTGGGTGTACTTGGTTGAAGACAGCAGGGAAGTGTGTAACTGGAAGTATTTCTATTCTGAATGGCTCTAGGAAAAGAAAGCCCTCGTTTTTGCACTAATACCTCAGCTACCTGAAAACTTGATCGTTATTGTCTCATTCTTCAGGTTCCTGAATGGTGAAATATTTGTGTGCTTTTATTTTACAGAATGTTCTTTATGTTATCTTGGTTTTTATTTTTATAGTTTATCTTCTGAGATAAGAGGCCCTCATCATTAGCATCATCAAAGCATCTAAATTCATCTGTTCCTGAACAAAGTAAATGATTAAGTTCCTCTGGGGCACTGGTGGGCGGAGTGGTAACATTGATGTTTAGCCATGTGTTGTCACACCTGTCCTAGAATAAAAATAGAACCAATTAAATATGAGACAGGGAAGTGATCAATCATAGGGCCAGTCTTACCTCTTCCCGTACCTCTGCAAATGAGGAAGCTGCTCAGGGGTGCCATGGTTGGTCATCATTTCCAATAGCCACTCTAGTCATTCCCTTGCCTCGCTCAGAGTTGGGAAAATTGAACATACTTGTGTCTCATGAGTGAGAATATTTAAGAGGTAGTAGGCAAGGGATGTGTGCAGTGGAATGGAGACCAGAACAGAAGTAGTTCTAGAGTTTAAAAGATTAAATGGATGTGAATTTTTTTTTTTCCAAGCAGTCTTTTAAAAAATGAGGCTCCTGGAGGAAAAAAGGGGTCAGAAGACTCTCTCAGGGCCCAAAGTGAATTGAAATGGTGGTTAATTACACCGTTCATTCCCTGTGTATAGCAAATAATTACTGAGTGACTTTATGCTAGGTGCTTTGTTCTGGGCACTAGGGAGACAGTAATGAATAGGACACAGAGGTTACTCTTCTCATGGGTCTTATATTTGTATGGAAGGAAGAGAGACAGTAATAAGTTAACAGATGAAATAACTACTACAAAGACATAAAGATGATTGGAGATTAGGGATAGCCTCTCTTGGTAGATTATGGCTAAGTGGAGGCCTGAACAGCAGGGGACTCAACTTTGCGAAGATCTGGGTAATGAACCTTCCGTACAGTGGGGCAAGGTATGTGCCCACTGGCTCTAAAACTGGAATAAACCCAGTTGGGTGAAGCACTTGAGGTACAAAATTGAAGAAAGTATTCAAATCCACTCACTTTAGAGAGTGAGTACTTCTCTAAATTTTGCACATGTGGTAGGTACCTCTCTTACCTCATCCTAGTTCCTGCTTTGACCCAACCTGTTTGAAGGACAGAAAGGACGAAGTTGTATTTACAGGAAGTCATGAGTTAGGGGTGGTAAGTCTGGGGAAGAGGATTTGATGGGAGCACAGAGACACTGGCATGGCTAGGTCTGTTAGGGCTTTGTAGGCCAGCATAAGGTTTTTGAACTTGAGTGTGGAAGTAGAGGTGCCTGGAGATAGAAATTTGGGAAGTGCTTCGAAGTAAAGTTCTTCTAAGTTTGGCTTTTGTTAGGGACACTTCAACCATCGTAATACCATGAGGGGGACTGTGAAGAATAGTACAGATGTGTGTAGGTTATTGAACTTGGTGCTAAGAAGATAAGGGCATTTCTGTTGAATTTCTAATTTCTCAGTGATGTATGAGACAGTATTATCACCTTATCACCTGGATGGGGGGGGTTAGAGGATATTTGAGTAGAGAGAAGGTTTCAAGTAGCCATTTCAGAGGGTGAGAAAATGAGTAGATCAGGGAGTCCTTATCGGATTTCTGGGTGGTGAGATCTATGATCTTGGATAGAATGAGGTTGGGTGTTCTTCAGCCGTATGGACAGGGAATAAATAAATGAGTTTAATCTCAGGTTTAAGCTAACCATGGGGGATAGAGTTAGAATTGGGATTTTTTTCCAGCAAAAGTAAAAATTAGGGGGTAGGTAGGGGCCTTGAAATGTAATCTTTATGGGAAAGATCACTACTAGGAGATTCAGTGGTTTAAAGAATTAAGTGAAATTCCCTTTAGTTACATTTGAATTAAACTCGTGATTTGATTTCTTTGCCAGTGGTGGCCCTATCGTATGGGTTTAAAGATTTGGATTATGTAGATAATACCTTCCAGAGTATATACATTCTCTGAAACTTACAAAGCTCATCATTTAGGTTGTAGAATCTTAAGAGGTAGTTCATGCTGATCTTTGGAGTGTAAAATTCTTAATTATAATCCAGTTCGTGCATATTTTAGCCAAGTTCTCATCTGTCTTCTCACTCCCACAGAGCTCCTTTTGAAGTCACTGGAGCTCCCCGTGCTTGAGCATTTCATGGGGGTGCAGAGCAGGGTGAGGGTTTGGTACTTGAGAATTCAAATACTTTAAATCCTGTTGCCTTATCCATCAAAGACCGACTTTATTCCCTAAGTCTGTTATGGAATAGGACACTAGAGGGCAGTATATATCCTCTCTGCCTGCATTCCCCCCACCCCCCTGCCTCTGCCACAATTTTATCCAGTCTCTTATTTGTAGAGCTCTCTGAAATCTTGGATGCGTTTTTGGAAATGAATTTGGTTAAGGTATATGAGACATAATGAGTGAAACTACTACATATATTCCGAAATTACATATATATATATATAGAGAGAGAGAGAGAGAGAGAGAGAGAGTGCGCGAGCGTGCGTGAAGAGCTTTTAATACAGTCTGTATGTAATTGGGGATTTATGGTCTAAGTTGGAGAAAATCTTAAAGAAAAGTAAGCTAGCCAGTTTTTAAAGAGGATTATAACTAATGAACACTTAATGTTACCTTTACTTATGGTAAGCACAAATGAAATGTTGAAAGCCCAGTGGTGTCAGTGGGCATTTAAGGCTTCAACGGAAAGACTTTGATGAATATTGAAACTAGTCCTGGAGGTTGCATAAACAGAGACTTATTTAGAATTCAGTACAGGAGAGAGCCATTCACATTGAACAGCCATAAATATGTCTGTTATCTTGGGTCTAGCCAGTTTCTGTTCATAAATCATATTGATATTGAAATCTGGGAATTCATAAGTAGGGGGGAAAGTAAATTTTTGGTATCAGTACTTGATACTAGGCTAAATTTTAAGCTAACATCTAAATTGTTTAAATGATGTATAAATGAATTATTGATATATAAGCTTTTCACAAAAAAGCTAACCTTTAAAATCCTGTCAAACTCTGAAGACCCCCCCCACAATAAAAGATTTAGTGTAAGATTGGTCATAGAAAATATAAAAAAATAACTAATTTTCAGAAGTTTTTTATTTGAAATTTACTTTCTAGCTTTGTGTTAGAAAAAATAGTTAAGTTACATACAAACATAACTGGTTGTCATTAAATTTGGAACAAATCTTGGCTTCTTCCTAGGAAGTAATATTTTGGTTATATTAAAAGGTATTTGTATGTTTTGTGTTTATTTTATCAGGTGATTCTTGGAAACTATAATTGGCTGTCCTATGAAGATGTCTTCGTTAGAGCTTTTAATTTTGGAAATGGTTTACAGATGTTGGGTCAGAAACCAAAGACCAACATCGCCATCTTCTGTGAAACCAGAGCCGAATGGATGATTGCTGCGCAGACGTGCTTTATGTATAATTTTCAGCGTATGTGGGCTTTCTGATCTGTGTGGGAGAGAGGATGCTGTTATAAATATTTCACTGTCTGGAAATTAAAATTCTGAAGTTAATTGCCACCTTGCATCTAATCAGGGGACTGTTCTCTTACAACTTAGAGTTATAGGTCTACTTTGGAACAAATTGTGTAGTTTGTGTAGGCCTGTTAATAGGGGCTGTGGGGCCTCGCTGACCAGGCCTGTGGGTCCTTGATTATGCTGCTGGTTCTCTCAGGAATCCTCTTGTGAAGTTAGTGTCACTTTGTCCCCTCTTCTGTTGGTAGTAGCAGTTGACCTCTAAAACTGCACTACTCGGAGCCATGAGCCAGGTGAAATGACAGGGGATTTTTACATCGTGGTTTAAGTGGCAATCCAGATGCCCCCAGTCTTTGAGGTAGTTCTGGAAGCTTAGTTCACAGATCTTGGTGGCATAATGGGATGTTAATTATGGACATTGTCTTACTTTTCAGATGGAACAGAAGAGCTATTTTTATCAGATTTCTTGCTGTAAATGCCTCCACTGGTTTTTTAAACTGACACACCTTTTTGTTTTCATAGACTTGGGTTTATAGTTTGCGTCTTTCGGGAAGCTTCAAAATAATTACCTCTTAAAGTCACTTTAAGTCTGACTTCTGTGAGCTAGGCAGCAAGTAAATAAAAGTCCACATGATGATTAAATTTCAGTATGACTAAGAATGTTTTTCTCGAGTTTTCTGCTAGAATAAGCAGTACTGCCACCTGTTGGTTACTTTCTTAACATATAACACCTTCAACCTGATACTCAGTACATTATCTTTATCTACATTATTATTCTTTTTCATATTTTAGTACTGAGTAACAACTAAGGCTTGACATTTTAGGAGTCAGAAATAATTCTTTCCATTGTGGCATCCTCTCAGTAACGTCTGTAGGTGAAATAAAACTTAAAATTTTTGTTTTAAAATGTTGGAAATCTTGAAGTAGATGAGGGTAAGTGAGTGGGCATAATATTTATTAGTATATTGAAATAATTTAGCTAATCATAGCACAGTTACATAATGAAAGATACTGGAAATCTTGGAGGAAGTAGGAAAGGGTGAGTGGACATATTTATTAGTATATTGAAATAATTTAGCTAATCATAGCACAGTTACATAATAAACTGTGGATCTGACAATTTAGTGTTCAGTATATCATTAGAATTTCTGACTACTTTCAGAGACTTCACATGTAGCACTTTCATGAAATGTGCAAATACATGACTTGCCCTTCTTTTCCCTGTAGTTGTTACCTTGTATGCTACTCTAGGAGGCCCAGCTATTGTTCATGGATTAAACGAAACAGAAGTGACCAACATCATTACCAGTAAAGAACTCTTGCAAACAAAGTTGAAGGTGAGGATTGTGGTTACTTTATAATTATCCAGCACTTAAGAATTCTCATTGTCATGAGCTCTAATACTGATACTTTTATGATCTTTAAAATCCTGAATATCTTTGTAAACTTTTAGGAGTACCATACTTTCTTCCTTGCCTTTAGAAAAGAAAAAGTAGATTTCATACATATTTATGTATAAGTAGTGCAGAGTTACAGATCATTAACATGGAATCCAAGATGAAGGGATTACCTTTTTTATTATGCTCGTTTGTTTTCTAGTCTGTTTTCAGTAAATTTAATTTTCAAGGGTTAGTTTCTAAAGTAATCATTTATTTCTGAAGCATTGAGTCAGTATGAGTTTTTAGGATTTTTTAAAGGGAAGAAAGAGACTTCTATGATAAACTGTTGGAGAAAGAAGTTTTGAAAGTGCCTAGATGACTTCCAGTGAAAACAGTAATATCTGCTGGTTTTTTAATACCCAGATTTGTGAGTTCCCTCCCTCTCCCCACATATCTTTATGAGCCTCATAAAAACGTAGGACTTGTGGCTACTCTGTATTACTGGAGGCCTATGTTTATATGCCTATTTTGTAGGGAAGTGACATTGCTGATTAGGATTTTACCTAAGAACAGGGGCATACACAGTAAATCTAATGCTATAAAATAGCTATTGGAAATGTCTGACCAGTTTCTCCATCTGAAAAGAGTGCTGTTCATACCAGTGCACCCCCTAACCTTTTTTTTGAAGGCAAGAAATGAGTAATTCACAGATTATGGTAAACTACTTTTCTTGTGTCCTGGACTGTTTGCTAAGTTGTTTCCTGAGGAACAGCAGCAAAGAACATATTAAATGCTTATGTTTTTCCAGGATATAGTTTCATTAGTCCCACGCCTACGGCACATCATCACTGTGGATGGTAAGCCACCAACGTGGTCCGAGTTTCCCAAGGGCGTCATCGTGCACACGATGGCTGCGGTGCAGGCTCTGGGAGCCAAGGCCAGCACAGGTATGGCGCACCTTCCCAGTTCCTTGTCGTCATTCTGCAGTGACCGCGTTCTCTGGAGTGGTTCCAGATCCTGAAGTCAGATCAGGGACAAATAATTTTCTAGACCATCACTTGGGGAAGTAAGGTCACTCTAGTTATACTTCTCTCTACTTTTCAAAGTAGCGTTTAAGGAAGAATACATACATTAGTTTATTGTTCTAAAGGGAGAACATTATACAGGTTTCCGGTTTCTCTTTTGAGATAGTTTTCAGTGGTTTGAAGTTCATTTTCTAAACAATGCCATTAAACTAATCCTATGTGGATCATCCGTAAGTATGTACAGATAGCTGGAGTGGCTAGACCTAGATCCCCTCCTTCGTTCCCTGCTCCAACTCTGCCTTTTTCCAGAGGGAGCATCTTTTTATAATGTGCCTGAACATTAGGCATGGTGATGCTGGAAGTTCCTACTCTCAGATAAGTCTCAGAAAGTGTTGGAAAGTGTATGGGTATCAAGGAATATCCTAAAAGCTGCTGGGATGCTGGGACGATATTTCCTTTATAGTTGGAAACTCAGTGATAAATTAGATGTAAGCACTCAGCTTGGGAATGGGGTTTTGCTGACATTACCATTGGACATTTAAGTGCTTACTTAAATTGGAAATTTAAGTGCTAGAGGACATTCAGACATGGATATTTAGTGGGGAGTGACATGTACTCTGGAGGTAAGTTTGGAGTTAGAGATTTAGAAGCTAGAAGTTGGGTTTTAAGTATAGCTGTGGAGGGAGGTGAGGTTACCCACAGAAAGCCATGTCTCCAAAAGCAACTGAGGGTGGGTCAGAGGAAGGAGGGAGGCGCACAGTGTGTCATGAGGGCGCATGAAGGAGCCTCTCTTGGAGGCAGGTGTCGGCCACAAGAGCAGGTGCCCTGGAGGAGTGGATGGCACAGGCATTGAGGGAGGCCCACCTCAGAGCAGTTGCTAGGAGGTGGTAGAGAATTGTGGTGTGGGATGGAGGAGTGAACGGCAGGCTGGAAAGTAAGGACTGGAATAAACGCGTTGTCATGAAATAGATCTGTGCCTATAGGAAAGGAAGGTTCACTCAACAACATGTTTAAAATCATTTCTGCCACTTATTTAAGAAGTCCACACTTAGGGGCGGTCTAAGATTAATTCAGGGGGTGCCATCCATGACCCGCTTTGCTTTGCCTTCCTGCTGTGTCACTTCCAGGATGTGGGCTACTGCCCTTAGGTTTGTGCAGGTGGAGGACACTGTCTTTGAATCCAGGATTCGGACTGTAGCCAAGTCCATTTCACCATGAGGCGGAGAACAGTTGTTAACACACTTACTTCATAGTGAAGTATGCCCAACCACACTTACTTCATAGTGAAATTGTTGGAATAGCCATTTGTTTCCCTGTTGCCTTTCCTCCCCAAGTTAGGCAGCTGCTTGGCAGCCAAAGTGACCCTTGTTGCTGGTGATGACAAGCCCCTGTTCAAAACAACATTGCTTTCTACTCCAGGTGAAATCCAAAGTCTTCAGCGTGGCCTTGAAGGCTTTGCCAGATATGGTCCTGGTTCCTACGTCAAAGCCTTTGCTCTCACTTATTTACTATTTGAGATAATCTCCCAGTTCCAGGGTTTCCATGGCTCCCTTCCTCACTGTATCCAGGTCTTCACTAAAACACCAACTTGCCAGAAAAGCATTTCTTGACTTTTCCATCTAAATACTTTTACTGTCCTCTCACCTTGTCTTTATATTTCTTCCTATTTCTTACTACATTATAGATTTATGGTTTATCTCAATAGAACATATGTCTCTTATGTGCGGGAACTTCATCTGTTTCGTTGACCTCTGAATGAATATAATTCATGGTTGTCAAATTGAGTTATTAAACACGATTATGAAAAAAATGGGTGCTATGGCTGCATTTCTCAGAAGTGTGTGTTTTTTTTTTTGTTTTTGTTTTTGTTTTCTCCAATGCAGAAAACAAACCTCTTAGCAAACCAGGGCCCTTAGATATTGCAGTAATCATGTATACAAGTGGATCCACAGGACTTCCGAAGGGCGTCATGATCTCCCACAGTAACATTATTGCTGGTATAACTGGGATGGCGGAAAGGATTCCAGGACTGGGGTATGTCACGTGGTCAATGCATATGAAGTAGTCCCTTGTTGATGCTGGTTGTTACATTAACGTGGTTTGTGCCATTTAGTGGTATGTGGCTAAATTAGTCTTTCGGAGTCCGCTGGCAGTAAGCAATTCCTCCAAAAAAATCAGAGGGACTTGAAAATTAATTACAAAATAGTTACCGTTGTAAGGTTTAAAATATAGTTTTATATACCATTATATAATGTATAGCTCATTTATATATCATTACTTTTTTACTTCAAAAGTAAATTTTATCTGACTTAAATTCCTTAATTTAAATAACCAGTTGATAGTATTGCTGCTTAGTCTTTATTTTATTTTTTTTTTTAAGGATTTTATTTATTTATTCGACACACAGAGGGAGGGAGAGACACAGAGCAAGCACAAGCAGGGGGAATGGCAGGCAGGAGAGAAGCAGACTCCCTGCTGAGCAGGGAGCCCATCATGGGACTCAATCCCAGAACCCTGGGATCGTGACCTGAGCTGAAGGCAGACTTTAACTGACTGAGCCACCCAGGCGCCCCTGTAGTCATTTTTATACCTGAACATGTTATAATTCAGGTGAACAAATAACTTCATCTGTTCCAGTATTTATCGAGCTTTATTCATTCTCATTTTTGAGGCCAATTCCCGCAGCCACGGTGGCAGGGTAGGCATACTGTAGGGAAGAGACAGGAAGCCAGATGGGATCATGACAGGTAGTAGAGGAGTCAGTACTTGATGACTGACATGGTGTGGTGGGAGTGCTGGGGTATTTTTGATGCTCTTATGCACAGAAATTATACTCACAGGTTACTGTGGAACTTAATTTAGGGATGGAGAGAGAGATTTCTCTTATGAATGGATAAGTTTTCAGAAAAAATTAAAAGCAGTAGTTTCCTGGATTAGTCTTTGCCCTTCATATTTTTGGGGGTGGGGGCAGTTCTTGAAATACATACAGACATACACATTTTCTTACATACAGTATAATTTATTATTTCTAAGTAACTTTCTAAACAGGAATCTGTTGTAAAATTTCTGGCCAGCAGTTCTGGATTCTGTTGGAACTTTTTTATTTGGGAGCCCCCCAGCTTTATATTATTTTTTTATTTTAAAGATTTTTTATTTATTTGACAGACAGAGATCACAGGTGGGTAGAGAGGCAGGCAGAGAGAGGAGGAAGCAGGCTCCCTGCTGAGCAGAGAGCCCGATGCGGGGCTCGATCCCAGGACCCTGAGATCATGACCTGAGCCGAAGGCAGAGGCTTTAACCCACTGAGCCACCCAGGCACTCTGCCCCTCTACCTTTAAAGACCACTCCTCTTTGGATGAATTTCTCTGTTCTGTAGAAGAACCCTTCATGTTTGGGCCCCTTAGCCCCCGTTTCTTCTGTCTTCTGCACGTCGTTCCTATAGCACTTGTAATTAGTGAGCGTCTTCAAGTGGCCCTGGAGGCAGCCTCTTCCTTCATGTCTGCCTCCTGGGCTTTAGGTTGAACTGTACTTCTCATCACCCCTCCCCCCCGCATCTGTCTGCCTCCCCCTCCCTCCCCCATACACGCATGTGCACGTGTGCTCTCTCGAGCTCCCTCTCTCTCTCTCCCTCTCTCCATGTGGGTGGGCTCGCTTTGCAGTATTTTCCAGCAGAGACCACTCCTGACAGTTGCTTTTACATCTCCCTTTTCTTTTAGAGAGGAAGACGTTTATATTGGGTATCTGCCTCTGGCCCATGTTTTAGAATTAAGTGCTGAGCTTGTCTGTCTTTCTCACGGATGCCGCATTGGCTACTCTTCACCACAGACTTTAGCAGATCAGGTAAGTTAAATGTTTGTGACTTCAGATACTAAGAAAATTACAATTTTTTAACACATTTTTCTATATTCGTATGACAGTATATTGTAAGGATGGCAATTAATCATTTAAAAATAATTTTAATTTTTTTTTTACAATAAGTAAATAAAAATGATGAATTTATAATACACTTTTTGGTCTAAGAATTCCAACAAATTTCTGAGATAAGGAACAGTTTATATGACTCACTTTTTCTGTCTCTAGTCCTCAAAAATAAAAAAAGGAAGCAAAGGGGATACAACCATGTTGAAACCAACACTGATGGCAGCTGTTCCGGTAAGAATTGACCATTAATTAATGTTGAGTACTAAAGATGTGTCATCTGCTACAGAACCTAAATGCTAGGCTAAAAGATAACTGTTGACAAGGTGGTTAATGTAGAATTTATTCCTTATTGATTATATTGCCTTAATGCTCTACTGGATTCATTGTCTTTATTTTTTTTTTCTTTTTTAGCTTTATCTATTTTTAAAATTTCCTGAATGTGGTTTCAGCTTCTCTATGACATCGTCAGGTCCTTTCCCTAAGTCGCTTCTTACTCAGATCATTTTCATGATATGTTTGATATTAGTAGAAACCTGAAGCCCTGCAAGAGGTAGGGTGGAAGGTTTGATACCACTTCCTCCTCCTCTAAACAAATTGTGCCATTACCTCCTGAGTCCCCAGGAACAGTCTGGCCTAGTCACCAAAAAAAGTGACAGAGAATTTAGTGTGCCTTTGAATTACCTGAGAAGCACTGTGTAGCCTAATGTACCTGGCATGGGCAGGGGCCTGGGAATTAGTTGAGTAGAAGTGGGATGGTAACAATTTTCTGTCTCCTGAATTTTAAGTCTTATGTGGCTCCTGATTTTGTTTGAAAGTGTTGGGAATAGTTACCAGGTACCTGAGTACTCCAGTCCAAACAAAGTTACATAGTTACTCCAAATACAAAAGACCAATAATTTGATAGTTTCTGTAGGTGTATAGTTTCCTTAGTGTAGTATTTTACTTTTTAGTTCATGAAAACTTTCAGTTCATGTAAAATTAAGTATAATTTAAAATTGTAGAACCATTTCAAGTCATAGGGCTTGCAAGCAAAATGCAGTGCAGAGAAGGGAACATTTCCTGAGTGTAGCATTAAAAGACAACCAACCAACCGAAATAACCCTGTGGTCCTTTTGTGAGCAAAGAATGTGGTTCTCTGTATTTTTATAGCGTTATGAGAATTTTAAAGATTTTATTTATTTGTCAAAGAGATTACAAGTAGACCTAGAGGCAGGCAGAGAGAGGGGGAAGCAGGCTCCCTGCCGAGCAGAGAGCCCGATGCAGGGCTCAATCCCAGGACCCTGAGATCATGACCTGAGCTGAAGGCAGAGGCTTAACCCACTGAGCCACCCAGGCGCCCCAGGTTATGAGAATTTTAAAAACCATTTCATATAGTTGTTCATTTAATGGTTGTTCATTTATGTAGTAAGCTTAGTTTTTCCAAAATAAATAAGATACGCAACGCCATGTAAAAAATCAGTACTGATTATGTTACTGACCTGAGGCTTTATTTCTTTTTGTCTCCCCACCCCGCCATGAACATCTAGGTATATTTGTGCTTTGAAAAATTAGTTTTACAGAAACCTCATTTTTAAACTAGTTAGGCTCTATTTTAAAAATTTGTTCCCGATAGATTATATCTTCTAAAATGCCTCAATACTGATAGAAATATTTATCTGATGTTAAGATATAATATGTAAGGCAGCTGATAGCATTATTGACTTTATTAACTCATTTTTATACATCTAGGAAATCATGGATCGGATCTACAAAAACGTCATGAATAAAGTGAATGAAATGAGTAGTTTTCAACGTAATCTGTTTATTCTGGCCTATAATTACAAAATGGAACAGATTTCCAAAGGCCATGGTACTCCACTGTGCGACAGGTCAGTGGACTCCCTCTCTCTTTGGTGTCAAATAACCATTTTGTTCATATTACTAGCCTAGGTAATTGAGATAGTTGTAAGAAATAATTTGGTTTTAGAAAGTCGAAGGGACTCTATAAATTCATCTTGCATAAGAATATGAGCAATTAAAATAGATTGCAGTGTTGTTTGAAAAATGTTTCACTTACAGTTTTATTATATTTAATAGTGTGCTTTTATTTTCTGTGGACATGTATGTAATTTTCGTTTGAGAAATAGTGTTTCTTTGTTTTTAAATTAATTTCACTATGAATATAAAATGGCAACCAAATAGGAGTAAATGTTTTGCGTTTAAACTGTTAAACGATAGGTTTTACCACAGACTGTTATTTTTTGTTTTCATAGTGCTGAGTGAGTAGATTTAGTTATAAAATAATTTAGAAATTAAAAAATATATGACTTTTTATTTGTTTTAATGGGAATTTGTTAAAAGATTTTATTTATTTGAGAGAGAGAGAGCATGAGAGGGGGGAGGGTCAGAGGGAGAAGCAGACTCCCTGCTGAGCAGGGAGCCTGATGTGGGACTCAGGCCTGAGACTCCAGGATTATGACCTGAGCCTGAAGGCAGTCGCTTAACCAACTGAGCCACCCAGGTGCCCCTTTTTATGGCAATACTAATACAGTTTTTACATGCTCCACATTATTTGAAACTATATTTTTTTTGCCTTATTTTAATTAACTTCTGAGTGAGATCTAAAAATGATTACTGCTTGGTCTTCTACTTTTTCAGACTTATTAAAGAAAAACCTACCCTTTCCCCTTTTTGATAAAGATTATGATTAAGCATGGTGCCTGGGTGGCTCAGTGGGTTAAAGCTTCTGCCTTCGGCTTGGGTCATGATCCCAGGGTCCTGGGATTGAGCCCCACTTCGGGCTTCTGCTCGTCGGGGAGCCTGCTTTCCTTCCTCTCTCTCTGCCTGCCCCCTGCCTACTTGTGATCTCTGTCTGTCAAATAAATAAAATATTAAAAAAAAGATTATTAATAAGCAGTCTTTTATTAGTGTATTTTCAGAAACATTTTAATTAGATGTTTGAATTGTTTCCCTTTTTTAATTTAGCAGACATTTTAAAACAATAAACACTTCTGAAACCAGTGAAATTTTTTAAAAAGAGATTGTACAAATATGTACCCATTTCTTTTTCAAAAAATACTTAGAGTATGGGTGCGTGCAGGGGGGGAGGGGTAAAGAGGGAGGGAGAATGAGAATCTAAGCAGACTCCACTCAGAGTGCTGAGCCTGATGTGGGGCCGAGTTCATAATTCCACGACTTTGAGATCATGACCTGAGTCGAAACCAAGAGTCAGGTGCTTAACTGATTCAGCCACCCAGGTGCCCCCAATACGTACACATTCCTAATGAAGTAAGCAAAAGCAAAAAAAATGCTTTGCTTTTAATGCTAAATTTTATGAAGATACAACAGGATTATTCAGTATTAATATGTGTATTTTTAAAAAGATTTTATTTATTAGAGAGACAGATAGTGACAGAGATAGTGAGAGAGAGAGCACAAGTTGGGGGAGATGGAGAAGCAGGCTCCCGCTAAGCAGTGAGCCTGACATGGGGCTTGATCCCAGGACCCTGGGATCATGACCTGAGCCAAAGGCAGACACTTAACTAACTGACCATCCAGGCGCCCCTTAATATCTGTATTATTATATAATATAAAACTAATTGCTCTGGCCATAAACATGAGTTTGTCATTACTGTATAAAATTAAACCTGACAATTTTGAATTCATACATTAACTTGTAAAGTTAAGAGAAAATGCTACTTTCTTTACTTGACTTAAAAAAAGTTAAGGTTTAAGTAGTGGGTGAGAGAATCTCTTGAATTGGCTGTGTAGCCTTGGGTGAGCCTGACTCTCAGAATCTCACATTTCAGAATTGGAAGATTAGTCCAAGTGACCTGGAGAATGCCATTCAGCTTCAAATTCTCTGATTTTTTTTTTTTTTTTTTTTTTAAGGTTTATTTTCCGAAAAGTCCGAGGCTTGCTAGGCGGAAATATTCGGCTTCTGTTATGTGGAGGTGCTCCACTTTCTGCAACCACACAGCGATTCATGAACATCTGTTTCTGCTGTCCCGTTGGTCAGGGATATGGACTGACTGAATCTTGTGGTGCGGGAACAATTACAGAAGGTTTGTGTCTTCAAAGTGGTGTGTCCAACAAGAGGCTGGGGTGCACCTCCAGGCATTCTTCGGTAATGGGTTTTTTCTGCAGTATGAAGGATAAAAGTGGTTAAGGTATTTGTGTAGCAGAATGATGGTAAATTCTAAGTACTGTGATTATTGATAGTGTTTAGAATGTATTGGATACATCTAATAGTCAATAATTGATAGTTTCATGTTAGATTATGATATGTTAAATTAAAAGTTACTTAGAGTTCTGGAAAAGAAGTTTTAGTAACAAGCATTGGCTGTATTATATGCATTTATTTTCTTATTTCAGTTATTAAGTGTCTTTTTGTGAAGAAAAATAAACATGTTTTGTACAGTTGTTGAGGTATGTGTATTAAAGCTCAAACTCGGAAGTGGTTTATGGGGGTGGTCTGTGTAATGAGAGGAATACCAGATTCAGTTTTAGAGAATATAATTTCTAGGGTTTATCATGGTGACGTGATTGACGAGGCAATCCATAACCTAAGTGGTTCCCAGATGAATCCCGGAGTGCCTCATGTGTCCCTTTTATTGAGGAAAGTTATTTTGCTTCTCAGTACTAGGAAGAGCTACTTTATATTTTCTAGATACTGACAGATACTAAACTTCCTAATTGAGCATTTTCCTTGTTTACCTTGAATGTTTCTGTGTACCTTTCTTATGTCAGGTTTATCATACACTACTTCTGTATTTTCTTATTTTCTATATTTTGGAAGCTATTTCTAAGTTTTGTTTTGCAGGAAATAAAAGTCTTAATTACGTGCTTCTCTGGTTCCTTCTGAGGATCCTTATGGCTTCTGTTTTTAAGATTTGTGTTGAATGTGATCAGTTACAGCTTATATTGTAAATAAAACAACCTATAAATTATTAAATAATCAGCCTTTTCTTTCTGAAACTTGAATGATCTTTGAGGAGGAAACATGATGAAATAGTAATTCACAATAGTGGTGTGTGCTTTTCCCAGATCCTTGAAAGTTAATCTCCAGCCTGGTCTTCTGAACTCCCATCTATGAGTTTAAATAGGATGATAGCCTAGGCTGCTGTCTGGGAGGCTTTAGAGGTCTCCCTTTGAAATAGTGATAGACGGGAGAAGGTTGGAGAGGCTGCATGTACTGCAAAGCCTTCTGTTCTGACAAAGTGGAGTGGGTCCCATCATCCTGGAGGATAGGGCCTCTAGACTCATGAGCCAGGCAGCTTCACAGAGTGAAGTGGGCCTTGAGGTAAGAAGATCCATGATGGGAGTAAGGCAGGCATGTAGGGGAGCTGGAGCAGGCATGCTCCGTCTGACGGGGACCCCAGTTGTTGAAGTGCTGGAGATGCGGGCCCTGTTGTTCCTGGAGGGTCCACACTTCTGTGTAAAATGGCTTGAGTTTTAAATATCAATAACCAAGTCAGAATAAAAAGAAACCCTGTGTGGGGCCCATAGCTTGTGGTTCACCAGTTTGTGACTCCTGCTTTTAAAGATTCTCTGGGGATGTCAGAGCTTTGGGATAAGTCATCATCTTTGGTAGAAAAATGAAGCTGTTTAGTCACCACTGTAATCAAATACCTTTTTTCATTTGTATCTTAGTGTGGGACTACAATACTGGCAGAGTGGGAGCACCATTAGTTTGCTGTGAAATCAAATTAAAGAACTGGGAGGAAGGTAATAACCTATTTTAACCACAGAGCATTAATCTGTATAATATTTAACCTTAAAGTTAGAACTGTGCTTCATTTTCTTACTTTAGGATATAAATCACCCACAAGTGCTTGTTTTTTGTCTAATAGAATTATTTTATCTAGAGCTATACTTGGATTTACTTGTTTCAAGAATGATTCTGAAGAGTTATAATTGCTTTTATTTTGCTTATTTTATTACATGAATGCAAGGAAGAATTATGGCAAAAATTTAATCTGCTAAACGATGTCAATAAATAGGGAATGATCATAAGTTTATTTTGTAGAAGCAAAAATCATAAAATGTAATCTCTGAAACAGGATTTTTCATATTTTTTCTTTTTTTCTTTTCCCTGATGATTTCAATCTAGAATCATCAGAAGGAAATTTTTACTATGATTTCATAAAATCTGTTGTTTTGCCATTTAAATACTAATCACCTTTTAAAAAATTGCATTTGATTCTATCAGTGCGTATAGATTATTAGTGATTGGTTTCACTTTCCTTTTATACAAAATAAATATTCTGAAGGTTTGATGCCATTTTTCATTTCTCTTTTAGCAGAATTAGTGAAAATGTTTGACAAATTTAAACTTGGAGTTATTCTGAATTTTATAAGGCATAAATCTCTTAAATATAGTGTAATTTGGTTTTACAGTGTTGTGTTTTATTGAATACATGATTTAGTACTTTTATCAGATATATAAGAATCTCCACAGAGTCCCTAAAGGAGTTTACCTTGTAGCACATATGATTATTTTATACCATAGGCGTTGGATTTTTTTAGTGTAATGTTTGCTTGGAATAGTGGTTTAAAAGCATCAGTGCTTATGGGTAAGCAACTGAAATGTTGCACCTAGTTTTACGTTAATGAGTTTTGTTCATTTATACTGTCTGCCTCTTTTCCTTTGGGAAGCTCTAATTGGATTTAAAATCAGATGTTCCTATTTAGAAACTAACAGTTTCTAATTTTCACATGATGTATATAGAAATAAAAATTTAGAATTAACTCTTAATTATTTTGTGTTTACTAGGTGGATACTTTAATACTGATAAACCACACCCCAGGGGTGAAATTCTTATTGGTGGCCAAAATGTGACACTAGGATACTACAAAAATGAAGCAAAAACGAAAGCTGATTTCTTTGAAGATGAAAATGGACAGAGGTGGCTCTGTACTGGAGATATTGGGGAGTTTGACCCTGATGGTTGTTTAAAGATTATTGGTGAGCCAACTAATATATATATACATACATGTATGTGTATATATATTATATATATATATATATATATATATATATTATATATATATATATATATGTGTATACACACACATACATGTATGTATATATACCCCCCCCGACAATGGATGTTTCTGAAACAGTTTTGCAAAAGAGATAACTTATATTTAGGGAAGCTTTTTAATAATACAAGAATAGATCTTTCTTCAGTGTTGATAGGGTCTGTTGTATCATCTCTGGAATATAAAATAGAGACTGTGAAGAAATTTTAAGGCTTGACATTTTAGGAGATCTCAAAATCTGTTCAATAGCAGTGATATTTTTAATTACTAGATAACCCTGAAGGAATCAAATTCTTAGTAGGGAATATTTATTTTTTGTGTTCTTTGGTATCTAAAGTTTATTGGACATGGCTCTCCTGTTGGAACCATGTCCTGGCCTTGCCTGTGAGATCAGGAAGGCCTGGCAGTTGGAGTACTATGACCCGTGGGGCAGAAAATAGCTCCCTGCCTTCCCTCTTAACATTCTTTTTCTCAGTTAATAGTGTTTCTGTCCTAGTCATGCTACCTAGAAACCTGGGAGGAGATGAGACTCTTCAGTGGGCTCCCCATGTGTTACCCATGTTCTGCTGATTTACCAGGTGAAACATGCCTCAAGATCATTCTGTTCTGGCAGCAGCTCTTCTGCTCACAGGTCCTGTCCCCGTGGTTTAAAAAAACTACCATTTTGCACCAAAAAAACAAAACAACAAAAAAAACAAAAAAAAAACCATTCTTTTCTCTCTGCCCTCTCACCATGACCATAGGTCAGGCCCACACCTTCTGTCACCCTGTTGCAAGAAATTCCTCTCTCTGGACATGCTTGTCCCCCTTAAACACACGCTTGAGCCGTCAGCACTGATCTCACTGGGCCACTTTGCTGCTAAAAAAAACTCGTCCTGGCAGCTAGGGGCTCGGCTCAGTGCCTCTGTTCTGTAGCCAGATTCACCTCTCCGCCTCCCCGTCTAGCCCCTCCCTCCCCCCAAGTGCTGCGGAAGTTCAGGCTGACCTACCTGTCTGTCGTTTACCAGGGCCAGTGCACTTGGCTACCTCCTATCTTTCCTAGAGACTCTGCCCAGGACCCACTTGGTGGGAATTCTTTCCAGATCAGCAGGTTGGACAGGCTTGACCCTTACCGTTAGCATTCTGTGTTGAGGGGATATGTTTCTCTCCAGATAGCACATGAGCTTTCACACGTCACTGAGAACTCTTCTCCTTCCTGGTGTTAATATGTCATAGGGAACATACCTGTTCAGCAGAACATGCCCGAAGCCCTGGAGGGACTTTTGACCAGAAACTGATTTTCTTTTTTGAAAGAATTTATTTAGTGGTACTGAAATTAGGGCCTAATTTACTGTGTACTTTTAATTTTGGTGTAACTATTATAATAAACTTAATTGATAGCAAATTACTTCGGGAATGGCCAATATTCATGTGTATTCAAGTATTTCTGTGCTCCCATGTGCCCCTTCCTGGCCTTTGTCCTGCATAGATCGTAAGAAGGACCTTGTGAAACTGCAGGCCGGAGAATATGTTTCTCTTGGGAAAGTAGAGGCAGCCCTGAAGAACCTCTCCCTTATAGATAACATTTGTGCATATGCAAACAGGTAAGAAAGTAGAATTCTGTTACTTTTACTTCAAACCTTTTGTGTGTGCTTGGCATTTCCTTCCTAGATGAATCTTCTTAAAACTATACTAAGAACTCTTCTTCCTTCGTATCTGTTGTCTCTGGGAGTGGCCTCTTCTCAGGAAAGCCAGTAACTGATTCTATCCTTGGGACGCTTCCCCTCCTTGTCATCCTCTCTCTCTGTTTTCTGTTTACATCTCACTGCGGTGTCCTGTGTGATGGGGAGGGGAAGAAAGTCAAGTGCTCCTTCTTGCTGCCCTGGCATCCCCAGCAACACGTCTTTCCGCATAGGGAAGCTTCCCAGAAACAGCCCAGAGCATAGGGGAGTAGAGAAGGAAGTTGGAGGATAGTCTTCAAGCTGGACCCTGCTCCACACCTACTACCTTGCATTAGACTTAAGCCTGCTTGGGACCCTCGCCAAGGCTGGGGGGCTCTGCTTTAAGCTGTGTTAAGCTGTGGCTTAACTCCTATCATATCTAGTCCATAATGGTACAAGGCAGCTGGGAAGGAGAGTTTAAAGTTAAAAATCCTGGAAATGTATTCCTGGGAAATGTGTTGGAAATTTATATTGGCACTCTGGTGACGTTTTTCCCTAACAGTATTCTATGTGGTAATGTCTCCAGTGTTAATGATCAGCTACTCTGTGGCCAGTGTTAATGATCAGCGACTTCGTGCTACTACTTGCTGCAGCAGTTGACATAGTAATTATTATGAAAAGATAAAATCTGGTATCAGAAGAACCAATTTTGAACAGACTTTAAAGATGAACTACATTGTATTATAAATTATTCTGCCCTTCAATTAGCCAAGAGATGTCTTCTTCTGTGGTACTATAGTTCTGGCTTTTACTTGTGTGATACTAACCAGACTACCCTTCTTCCTGATGCTGCTTGCCATTTCCTACTGCCATTGGCAGGCGCACCTACAGCTCTTTTATTAACAGTTCTCGTGATAACAAAAGAGAAAAGTAAATGTAACCGCATTACTTTGATTTGCTGCCAAATTTCTTGAGATACAATTTTTTTTTTTTTTACTTCTTTAAATATATTTTTTAAAGATTTTATTTGTTTGAGGGCAACAGAGTACATGAGCAGGGGAGGGGGAAACAGAGGGGGAGAGAATCCCAGGGAGACTCTTCACTGAATGTGGAGCCTGACATGGGGCTCGGTCTCAACGCTGAGATCATCACCTGAGCTGAAATCAAGAGTCACATGCTTACTGGCTGAGCCACCCAGGCGCCCCTAGATATAATTTCTATTTACATGAATTTTAATTTCTCTTTAACCTGTTAATGTGAATTACTGATTTTTTTAAGAGTTAAATTTTCTAATATTTGTAATTTTCTTTAAAAAATGTATAAATGGAAGTATTCATAACACAGTTGAAATTTGTCATTAAATATCCGATGAAGGTTTATTTAGCAGGGAACTCTGTCAGAGCCTTGAACATACTATGAGTCATGCAGCAGAAGTGGCATGAGGTGAGTGTGCTAAGTACCAAATAGGCGTCATGTGTGTTCTTTAGTGCAGTCGTGGATCGAGGACAACAGCATTGGTAATCATGACTGCAGCTCACACCCTGTGCCGTTTAGATCCTTACCCCTTTGTCCTTTCTGTATTTCAGTTATCATTCTTACGTCATTGGGTTTGTTGTGCCAAACCAAAAGGAACTTACAGAACTCGCTCGAAAGAAAGGACTTCATGGGACTTGGGAGGAGCTGTGTAACAGCTGTGAAATGGAAAACGAGGTCCTCAAAGTGCTTTCTGAAGCTGCTATTTCAGGTGAGTGGCTGTGAAACAGACTGAGGACTGAGGTGGGAAGGGAAGAGAGTTCTCACGTTCACTTGTGCTGCCGTCACACGGCTTAGGTGATGTCATTTCCTACTCAGAAGCCAACTATTGTTTTCCTACAGCTAGATAGAAGAGCAGACTTCACAGGCCCTTCAAGAGGACTCGCCTGTCATGTGCTCCCATGACCCCCATGCACCAGTCCTTGTCCCTTTAGCTTTTGTCCTCTGGGTTCACCCTTTTTCTCCTTCTCTCAGCTGGGTCCTGGCCACCCCGGCCCATTCTCAACTGCCCAAGACTCTTTTCTGCATTTTCTACACTGTTAATGTGCTGGTAGTAGCATGTATGGATGTGTCGTATCCCCCCTTTTTGCGTGTGTGTTGGGGGAGCCTGCAGTCGGTCGCTCTGGTGGTTACTGAATAATGCTGCTGTGAACATTTGTGTACAAGGGGTTGTGCAGATGGGCTCCTTTCTCCTGGGCAGGTACTTCAGAGTAGAATTGCTAGGCCTGTGTCAACTTTGTTAAGCCTTATAAGAAAGTACTAGATTATTTTCCAGAATATTTTTTCCAAGTATTTTCCAAACTTATTTTCTAAAATTTTGGCATCATTTTATCATTCCCACTGGTGTTAGGTTCCAGTTTCCCCACGTCCCCAAAACACCTGTTACTGTCATCCTTTGGATTCTGCTCATCCTAGTGGGTATGCAGTAGGGTATCTCTTGGTTTTGATATATATTTTTCTGGTGGCTAATGATGTCGGGCATCCTTTCTTGTATTTATTACCCATTTTATGTCTTCTCTAGAGAAATGTCTATTCAGATCCTTTGCCCGTTTTTTTAAAATGGGGTTGCCTTTTTATTACTGAGCTGTATAAGTTCTTTATGTATTCTAGACACGAGGCACTTACCAGATACGCAGTTTGTAAATATTTTTGCCCATTCTGTGGGTTGTGTTTTTACTTTTTTGATGGTATCTTTTGAAGTACAACAGTTTTAATTTTAAAAGGGTAATTTTTTTTTCTTTTGTTGTTTGTGCTTTTGTTGTCCTGAGAAATCATTCCTAATCTATCACAAAGATACACCCTATTTTTTATTCTAAGAGTTTTATAGTTTCAGCTGTTACATTTAGGTCCTCGGTCTATTTGAGTTCATTTTAATGTGTGAAGAAGGGATCCAACTTCGTTCTTAGGCAAAATTTGTATCAGGTTTACACCTGAGAAACAGTTAGTAGTTATCTATAAAGAAACTCACTGTGAAGAATTGGTTTATGTGCTCTTTGGGGGTTGACTTAGGTAAAGCTGGAACTCGGTAGGGCAGCTTGTTGGCAGCTGCTGGAAGTCCGACCACAGGCGGAATTGGTTTTTGTTTGGGGACACCTCAGCTCTGCTCCTGTGGCCTTTTCAGTCCACCCAACCAGGCCTGTTAAGATGATCGAAGACAGTTTGCCTCACATAAAGTAAACTGGTTGTAGACTTAATCATTTATGTACAATGTGTATTGCGTTAGAGTTTAATTGACTAATTGGGGACACTAGCCTAAGCCAGTAGATACATAAAACTGCCTTTTCCAGTCTATCATCGCTTGTCTGCTTAGCACCCATGTACATCTCCTGAGAGCATAGTTGATTTCTAAGTAAGGACAGTAACAAAGACTCCCGCCTCATGTAGTAAAACTGCCCAGCACACAGCTGAAAATACATTAACCTTTTTTGCAGAAGAGGATGCACACCCCTTGAGCGATTTTTGCTCTTATTCAGTGATACGCAGTTAGCTTATAATACTTATTATGATAGAATAAAAGGGAGGAAAATAAAAATATTTGCTTTAACATATATACAAACACAACAAAACAAGAACCATTCCATAAATTCTGAGGTCCAGGCCTTGCTGCTTTTGCTCACTGTGGTTTTCCCTCTAGGAGAGCACTCCCGGAATAGCTTTAGTCTTTGAAGAAGAAAACCTTGTTATGTCTATGTTTATAAGTTAGAGTTAATATATCTCTTTTGCTCCCAAGGTACTTACACCTTCAGTTTAGTGAGCAAGTGTGCCTGTCTGTATGGTGTGTGTGTGTGTGTGTGTGTGTGTGTGTGTAATCATGGCTAGATGTTCATCTGTTTATCCTTGTTAGATTTTATACCACTTGAGAACAGAAACTATTCTGTGTTTCTTAAAGAGTGTTTAAGAGTGTTTAGTAAAACGCTTTACACAGTAATTTTTTTCAATAAATATTTGTTGAATGAATGCTGGAAAACCTCTCCCTTTCTCCATCCCTCTCCCTGTGTCCAACCCTTTGCTACTGAGACTCTTACTGGTATCCAGCAGTATATAGAGACACAATAGTAAGCAAACATTCTGTCCTCATAGCTTATGCTGAATATTCTGATTTGATGACAAGATTCTCTTTAAACTTTTTTTGGTTTCTAAAGTGATTTCCTTATAATAAACTCAGATTTAGGTGTGTGGCATTTGCTTTTCCTTAATCATGGATCTTAACCCCTAAAGCTATACAGTTTATAACTTGGTGTATAGTCCTACACATCTGTGTGCATAACATTTATCTGCTATTAAAAAAATACGAAAATTGCCTTTTTTTAAGCCTAGCAATATATTGCAAATATCTTTATACACCCTACCATGTAGATCTTATTTTTAATGACTGAATTTTATTCCATTTTATGCCTGCATCATAACTTAATCTAACTTATTCTGTTGATGGCCATGTAGATTTTTTAAACAAAAAATTTTGCTTTTATAATTCTCATATCTGTATGTATCTATTTACTTCTAGTGTTTTTGAGGGATGGCTTATTTAGAAGCAAGATTTCATGGGATGTTGTGCATTTTGATGGGCGCTCTAAGACTAGAAAAGTTACACTGTTTGCCAGGAATTTTAATTGTATGTTTTTTATGCCTCTTCATTTACATTTCCCCCCCTCTTCCAACATCGCAGCGAGTCTAGAAAAATTCGAAATTCCAGTAAAAATTCGTTTGAGCCCGGAACCGTGGACCCCCGAAACTGGTCTGGTGACAGATGCCTTCAAGCTGAAACGTAAAGAGCTTAAAACACATTACCAGGCGGACATTGAGCGAATGTATGGAAGAAAATAGTTCTTCTCTTTCAGCATCGTTTGCTGCAGGGAGCTCAGATCAAATAGGAAAATACTTGAAGTGCATGTCTCCAACTGTGAGGCAAACCCTGTTCCTCGTAGTATACCTAAGCTGTTACTTCTCCTGACGTCGCCTGTTCCTTCTGACGTCGCCGTTCTTACTGACGGGATTAGTAAAACATTAAGACAGCAAACTGGTGTCTGTCTCTTCTTTCTTCCCCCTTTCCAATTTACCACCTAGGACTGCACTTGTCAGCATGAGGACTTTGAATCATTTTGGGGAACAGTGATTTTAAAACCTCAAGTTTTTAAACATGATTTATATGTTCTGTATAATGTTCAGTTTGTAACTTTTTAAAGTTTGGATGTATAGAGAGATAAATAGGAAATATAAGAACTGGTTATTTGGGGGGCTTTTTTACTTACAGTATTTAAAAATGCAAGGGTATGGATGTGAAATTATGTAAATTCAAATACTTATGAATCAAATCATTGTTGAACAAAAGATTTGTTGCTGTGTAATTATTGTCTTGTATGCATTGAGAGAAATAAATATACCCATACTTATGTTTTAAGAAATTGAGACCTTGTGAATATATGCCTGACAGCGTCTTATATATATTTATTTTTTATTAGGGAAAAAAATGGAAGTTTGGTGCGGCATGAAACAAGATAGCACTAGGGGATCATGTTTAATAGCAAAGAAGAAACGCAGCAACTGTAGCACTGGTGGGTAATTAGTCTCTAGTCGCTTACCTTCAGAATAGTCAGGGTCTTCTAGTTAGCTTTGAAACTAGGAAAATGTCCAGACTTTTTAAAGAGTTGGGCGCAATTCTAAAAGTTAAGGTGGGATTTAAGAAGCAAAGGATAGAAAGCTATTCTTTATTTCATCAACCATTGTACATGGAGTTGTTTATATTTATAGCACCTCAATCATGGAAAGCTACTCTGTCCACTCTGATGCTTTTAGTCTAGATGTGTAATCTATCGCATTTCAAAATGAGGATTTTTCTCTTGATAGTTTGCACTGGTGTGTGTGTGTGTGAGCGAGTGTGTGTGTGTGTTGGCAACTTATTAAAAAGGCACCTTATCCTTTCTATGAAACAGAACTTTTTTACACTAGAATACGGAAACATGGAGAATGTTTCTGATACTGGCATTCCTACTAAGATATATGAGAATTTAACTTTATACTGAGGTGAGTTAAGATTTAATTTGTAGGTTTTTATGTTACTGTGGAAGTTAAGATTCTTAAAACACTGCTTGTATGTACATGGTAAGTCTTCATATGTTGCTTGTCTTGTATTTGAGCATTATCAAGAGTACTGTTGCACCAATGAAGATGTGTTCAGATCAAGACTTCAAAAAAAAAAAAAAATAGGTACCATGTTTTCTTATGTCCTCTTGGTTATTTTTCGATTCTTAGTTCCTTTAGGCATCACAAGGCAAAAACAAAAGAAGTAGATCTGGGTAGGACAGTAGGATTGCTGAGACCCAGGACTCTGTAGCTTTTGGTCATGTTGCACACACATCATATTTGGAGATACCGCATATGGTGTTCTGTTTCGAACTTTTCTTGTATTTGTTTATATTTGCATTATGTTTTGAGTGTGTTTTTCCTTGTCATAGTTTAAATTTATTCATAAAGTTTGGGAAAACTGCCAAGAAGTAAAACAATGAAAGACATTAAACAACTTCTCTGTCAGGATGTTGTGATCTGAAGATTAAGTCAGGGTGGGTGGAGAATTTGTTTCTGATGCTTCATCTTTAGAATGTCTGCTTTCAAATGATTTTTGAGAAGTTGTATTTAGAAAAGAAGGTTCAGTGCTTCAAAGGGAGGGAGAGAACAATGTAATCAGGACTTGAAAACTGTCAGATGAATACGCAGCTTATCACTGATTCTGGATACAAGTTGTTTCTTTTCAGAAGCCTCTAACAGGACTGATTTAATTTGCATTTTGTTCCATTTTTCTCATTTTTTTTCAGTCCTAAAATCTCAGATGCCAGGTGTCAGATGTCACAGCAGAGTATGAAATTACATAAAGTAGCGTCCCCTTTCAAACAAGTTCCTCTCTGACCCACACCACCTTTAGTGACTTGAAAAATGAGACTTTTTCATCTTAACTTTTCGAAAAGAAACCATTGGTTTAACAACCAGAACCAAAAACACCACCCAACAATGAGGATTTTTTAAAAATACTGGTTTAGCTTGAAGACGCTTGGGGAGGAAAACTTTGAAAATGTCAAAGTCAGTTGCTAAATCTAATACATCTGAAAACAGACTATAGATCCTAAAAAGAATGATTCTGAAGAACTTGTTTTCTGGAAATAAATTACATAAGATTTCTCAGCCTTGCCTGTGACAGTAAGTCTGAGGGCTGATGGCGGCTACCTCCCCTTTTCTCTCGGCAGCCTCCCCCACCTCTCCTGCTGGGGAATTTTTAGCTTCAACTTTATTAGGTTTTTACCAACAGCAGAACAAAATGGTAAGGGGTCTCTCTTAAGTACTGCTTTGTTTTTTTAAGTAATGGATCTAATACCATGTTCTCCAAAGCTTGCAATTTTTTCAGCAATGTTTAAAGATTATCCTGGAATAAATTTTTTTTTTCCTGCTAAAATAAATTCTATAGTTTATAAAGCAATTATTTCCTGTGATACAACTCTAAAACTTAAAATCTCTTGTCTGTGATATCGTTCTTTTGTAAGGGAATTATGTACATCTGTGATGTTTTAAAGGGGAGCCACTATTAACAGTGTACATACTGGACCACGCTGAAATGTAATGCGTCTTTTCTCTACGCTTAAACGGTCATTCACTGGGAGTTCATTTTGGATGTATTCTTGGTTACTGCTGTTTTCTGCCTGAAGAAGTGTACATCATAAAGAAGCAATATAGCCACATGGTATGGACTATTTATTTGTAAATTGACATCAAGTTTGAAGAATAAAGATACGGAAAAAGTTTCTGATATTAAAACAATATTTTGTGTTTTTTTTCCTCAAAAATATAATATAAGGTCAAACTTAAACTGACATTCTTGAAATATTTGTTTTGAAAAAGGAGTTTGGGGAATTTACTTTTCTTGGCCTAGCCAATCCACTTGAAGGCAAATACTGTACTTTAGAAATTCTGGTCTTAACCTACTTTGTTTCTGGTAGCATTCCTCTGTTCTCCGTATCTCTAACCCTTCGTGATGCCTCCTTTCTATTTTGGGTGTGCCTACACAGATTATCTGCTGTCAGATTTAAGAATTAGTGACGTTAAGGTGTTCTCTACACATAAAATATTCACATATTATGAATTAGAGATCCTACAATTTGTGGGAGAAATTAAAAGCAATATGGCAGCCATAAATCTGGGTTTTATTCCTACATTTAATCCTGTAATTGTGAAAGAATTGTTTCCTGCTGTGATATCTCAGAAACCTACCCCCCCTCCCTGCCTTCAAGACCACTTGATGTTTGTTTTTGACAAAAACAGATTTATGTACCTTGATACCAACACTTCTATAAAAGCAGGACACTTTATGGAATCCTGCAACTGAGAAAGCAGCTTCGTGTGTTGTGCATCAACTTAAATATTAATTGTGCCTCATTTCTGTCATTAACTGCTCAGATTGTTACTTGAAACTTTGGTAACTTAATGTTTATACTACACTAAGTAACACCTATGATTTTAGGTGAGGCAGGTCTCTGTTGTCATGAAAAGCTACAAGAACAGGCTACGTTTATATATATAGATAGCCTGATTTAAGTGATATCATCAATGTGACCCCCTCTCCCCAAAAAACAAAAAACTTGCCTCTGATTCTAATCTACTTGCAAGCATGTAGACTCCAAGGTCACATCTGTTCAGAAGTCATCTCCAGCTACAGTGCTTTAATAATGGTCCATGGTCCCCTGAGTGGGCATTCAATCACTTTCTTGATTAAATTAAAATGTTAACAATTATAACCACAAGGCATATATGTGTCAAACGTTAGATGCATTTTTCTAGTTTAGACTTTCTGGAACCCTTTTCATCAAACCTTTCCATTAGCATCCTTATTGACTGATACTTTTGAATAGTGTTGACTTGGTGGGATTCATTCAGAAGCAACTTTTCCATTTGGTGATTCCTTGTTAATTCTCAGTTCTTTGTAAAGATAAATCCTGTTGTGTGAGTTCTCTGTTACACAATAAGATGGGGCCTCTGATTAAAACTTTTTCTGCATGGATTACCTTGTAGAAATAGGGTCTCTCTCCAATATGAGTTTTTTGTTGATGAAAGTTTTTCTGCATTTACAGATTTTCTCTTAAAATTTAAATTCAGTTTAGTCATATAATGTATTCATCACTTGCATGTAACACCCAGTGCTCATAATATCAAGTGTTCTCCTTAACAACCATCTGCTAATTACCCCATCCCCCCACCCAGCTCCCCTCCAGTTTGTTCCCTATACTCTCTTGTGGTTTGCCTCCCTCTCTGTTTTTATCTTATTTTATTTTTCCTTCCTTTTCCCTATGTTCATCTGTTTTGTTTCTTAAATTCCACATGAGTGAAATCATATGGTATTTGTCTTTTTTTGACTTACTTTGCTTATCAAAATACCCTCTAGTTCCATCTGTGTCTTTACAAATGGCAAGGTTTCATTCTTTTTGATGGCTGAGTAATATTTGTGTGTGTGTGTGTGTGTGTGTGTGTGTACACACATTGCATGCACATGTATATGTGTGTATATAGGCTATTGTTAATGTTTGCCATAAACATTCGAGTGCATGTGCCCCTTTGGATTAGCATTTTTGTACCCTCTGGATAAATACCTAGTGCAATTGCTGGTGCAATTGCTGGGTCATAGGGTAGTTCTATTTGTAACCTTTTGAGGAACCTCCATACTGTTCTCCAGAGTGGGTGTACCAGTTTGCATTCCCACCAGCAGTGTAAGAGGACTCCGCTTTCTCCACATCCTTACCAACATTTGTTTACTGACTTGTTAATATTAGCCATTTTGACTGGTGTGAGGTAGTATCTCCTTGTGGTTTTGATTTGTATTTTCCTGATGCCAAGTGATGTGGAGCATTCTTCATGTGTCTGTTGGCCATCTGGATGTCTTCTTTGAAGAAATTGTTCATTTCTTTTGCCCATTTCTTGACTGGATTTTTTGGGGTTTTTTTGGGTGTTGAGTTTGATAAGTTCTTTATAGATTATGGATACTAGCCCTCTTTCAGTATATCATTTGCAAATATCTTCTCTCATTCCATAGGTTGTCTCTTAGTTTTGTTGTTTCCTTTGCTGTGCAAAGCTTTTTATCCTGATGAAGTACCAATTGTTCATTTTTGCTTTTATTTCCCTTGCCTTTGAAGATGTGTCTAGTTAGAAGTTGCCATGGCCGAGGCCAGAGAGGTTGCTGCCTGTGTCGTTCTCTAGTATTTTGACTATCTTGCTTTTAGGTCTTTCATCCATTTTGAGTTCATCTTTGTGTATGGTGTAAGAAAGTGATTCGGTTTCATTCCTTTTCATTCCCAACACCATTTGTTGAAGAGACTGTCCTTTTTCCATTGGACATTCTTTCCTGCTTAGTTGAAGATTATTAGTTGAC